ATTTTAAATGCCCTTATTCTAGAGTGGTACTCCGTCCTCTCAACCTTAGCAGGCTAACGAGATTTAGATTTTTTTAAAGCCTCTTAAATACATCCCTACACTTTCTTTTTGCATTGGACTAAAAAACAAGCCCATGGGGAAACTAGATTTCCCATTCTCCAGACTCCAAATTTATAAGACTAAAAGGCTGTTAGATCCCTGTCTCCCCACAAGTTTCCTTTAGTCATTTTGGCCAATAGCTAGCAAAAGTTCCCTCCTACTAAGCCATCAGACCTGTAAGATTTGCAGGATTCTGGAATGAACTGGTCTTAGTTGAAACTTGTAAATCAATCAAGATCCTGACTATAGGGTTCCAATGCCCACACCCCAGGACTTGACCTCTCAGAAAGATTTAGCCCCTCATTTCAATGATTGGAAAGAACATTCATATCTTTAACCTTCCTTTTAGAGAAATTCTTGTTTTATCAATTTTTATTTTGCTTTAAAACAATGTTGTTTTTAAAAGTTTTTATTTTAAAAGAAATCCAAATCTGGTTCTGACTAGTGGGAATTTTCCTTCAGCCAAACCTGTTGGTTGTGCTTGAATCTCTGCCAGTATGGGGGCTATCACTGCAGCACTTTAAACTTAATAGTGGCTAATAAAATCATGGAGAAAAATCATAAAAGAGAATTACAAACAAAATCATCAAAAAAGAGAAAAAATGATTTGACTGTGATGAAAATCACCCTCTAGAGACCAGAATAGAAAAATTTGCAGACATAAGCTTATGTCAGCAGAGATACTTGACAGATATAAAAGTTGTTTTTCCTCAGTAGGTTTAACTCATCAGTTTCCATTCATCAGTTGTTTCTAAAATTGCAGGAAAGTTAAGTACAGCTGGGAAAAAGTAAAATTCAAAATCACCTCAATGACCCAAATTATAAGAGGTTGGAAAACTATTTTCCCTTTCCGGAGCATTTATTTTATTTTTTCCATATTTTTTTATTGGTCCAGTATATTTATTTTTAAAGCTGATGGAATCTTCAAGAACACATTGCTTTCACATTTGGCTTATTTTTTAAGTGGTTTAGCTAACATATCGACAGTGTGGTTGTATTAATTAAATAATTATGTCAGAACTCTCATACCTCTTGATTTTAAGGTGTGAACACATCACATAACAAAATAGAGAAGCAGAATCAGAAATTAGAGTTGGTTGTTAAGTTTTGAATATGTTTTTTCTAACTGCTTAAATACTGCAGCATCTCTATTTTTAAGCACTTCATATATGGCTACAAGTCTAAGATCATTTTTTTTCCCCTCTGGTTCTCTTGTTTATTTTTGGAATGTTTTGGCCAAATCTGTTCCAACTTTGACCTTTGGGTTCTTTTCTTTTCTTTTTAGGGAAACAACTATGTATACCTTTCCCAGTATTAAACATACACACGTATTCACATGCATGATAAACAATTCCCAGACTTGCTTTTCTGACAAATAAATCAGTGCCAGTACATCTTTGAAATGTCAAACTTCTCATTCAGCCTGAGACCTGTTGCTCTCCATGTGTTTCTTTGACAACATCTCAGATCTTAATGATTGGCATGGTTCCCAAGTGTCAGAATGCTGAAAAGTACAAGACACCTATTCAAACTTTTCTGTCCCTGCAATTACTGCAGATGCTTTTTTAATTTTATTTTTCTGACTTCTTGGAAGATTTACTACTCTCCCAGACTTCTGGCCTCCCAGGAAGGTCAAAGAGCTTCAAGTTAGTTTACTTTCCCTCAACTCTCTTAAAACCAAGGTGCCACCAAACCTTTTTCCAAGATCACTTAGAAAAACACAGGACTGTTTTATTTTATCTCACAAGCAATACCCAGGCATGCCTAAAGGGTAAGTCCCAAATGCCTTACTGCCTTAGAAAGGTGACTTTTTGTTACGATTGTAACTTTACACACATTATTCTATAGAGACCTAATGGCATAAGGACTTGGTTTTGGCATCTGATAGGCCTGGATTCAAATCATATCACTTACTTCCTTTGAAAACATGCATATTATTGTACTTCCTAAACCTTAATTTGTGTCCTCATCTGTAAAGTAGAAAGTGGCAATATTAAAAATATAGACTTCTGTAATTCAAGAGCAAGTGTGTTTTAGAAGAAATGAGCAAGAATATATTCAATTATATGACAAGAAGGAGAATATTTTCCTTACCTATTCATCTTAGACAAAAAGTTTAATAAAAAAATACAAATTAAGAAATATGTCAGTTGGGTACACATGCCTATAACCCAAGTGACTCAGGAGGCTAGATAGAAGGATCACTAGTTCAGAGCCAGCCTTTGTAAAAGCGAGGTGCTGAGCAACTCAGAGAGACCCTGTCTCTAAATAAAATAAAAAATAGGGCTGGGGATGTGGTTTAGTAGTTGCATGCCCCTGAGTTCAATCCCTGGTACACCCTCCCCCCAAAAGAAAAGAAATATTCCAGTAAAGTATGAAATGCGTGCAATAGAGGATGCTCTGATGATGTGCTACCCCACGTAAACCAAAGCATTGTGTAATACACAGCTCATTCTCCCTCTAAGAAAGTACATGGGTCAGGTGTACCTCTAGGGCCCTGCTATAATTTTTACCTATATAGATGTTACACATAACCTAAAGCTTGCCTGTAACATGATAAATTTCCAAATTTTAGCATAATAATGTCAAGAATGACCAAGTTGAGGTTATTCCCTAGCCTTATGCGTGTGGTGCATGTGAACTACTCATTGAAATTTGCTATGGGGAATAACATGTTCATTAACAATAGTATTTTGACCAGAGTAGCAGATTCTGTGTCCAACACAAAAGGACTTTTGAATGACAGGGAAAGAAAAGTCTTTTATCATCTATTCTTAAGCCCTTATCTGGGAAATGACTATCCAGTTAGGAAATGATCCAGATGTGACAATTTGTCAATACATACTATTTATTTTTAGCATTTTACAGAGACAAATAAAAATAAGAAATTCATATCAGTCTACCAAGTGGGTTCTGATGATAGAGACAAATAAAGACATGATATTCACATCAGTCTATCAAGCAGGTTCTGATGGGAGGGAGATAAGAATATCTGATTTTTCAGTGGGCTCAGAGATTTTCCTCCAGATAGTCTCCCAAGTCTGAATCTGACAGCTCTCCAGACTACAACTAATGCAAACTAATCCCAGGCAAGTAACTCATTCAACAGGTCCAGCATCTAATTCACCACCTATTTCCTGTACCTTCTTCACCTCCACCTGCTAATATCATCTGTGGTTCTTCTTCTCTTCTAAATGGATACTGTCAGATTCACCTTGGACCCTTTCCTCCTGCAATCTCTTCTCTGACCCTTTCTCTTTCCCTAACATTTGACCTTCCACTCTCTTACTTCTCCTACCCAAGTAGGGCACTTCTTTTCCCCCATGCATCTCTGGGAATAAGCTTCTTCGCTTTCTCTTCCTTTCAGTAACCATGCATATACACACCCTTGCCTCTAACTTTTTGAATCCCTGTGTGCAAGCCCTGTCTCTGCTCTAAAACTGGATCCTTTTGTCTTAATGCACGTTCTTTTTTTTTTTTTTAAGAGAGAGTGAGAGACAGAGAGAGAGAGAGTGATAGAGAATTTTTTTTTAATATTTATTTTTTAGTTTTCGGCGGGCACAACATCTTTGTTTGTATGTGGTGCTGAGGATCGAACCCGGGCCGCACGCATGCCAGGCGAGCGCGCTACCGCTTGAGCCACATCCACACGTTCTTGTTATGAAGATCAGGAGATCCATCCAGCCCTATTTCCCGCCAATCCCTAGCCCACTCCTTTTGTACTAGTCTTGTGCACAACCCTTTAATCTCAGCCTTTATCTTTAATAATGTCCCTGTGACTTTCCCTCCTACAATACACAAATCTAATGCTTGCCTAAGTCTACATCTGTCCCCAAATTTGTTCAAAATACCTCAGAAACTACTTACCTCTTCTGACTCTACTCTCCTTGCTATTTACCCTCTGCCCTATACTGTATAAGCATTAGTCCTGTGATCCTGGAAGCTCCATGTGCTAAGTAAGAGCATCTATACTTCAATTCCCTTCTCCTCCCTTCTTCACCTCCTGGTTCCTGAGTCCTCCTTGCACAAGGGACATAGAAAGAGATCAACAATTAATAGCTGTGCATGGGAACTGAAGTTTAACCCTTCTGATTCTAATCCACACCTTTTACTCCTGCTTTGTATAAACGGTACATGGCAACATCCCTAACTTTGCCACATCATAATCACACAGGATGGAGATTTACTACCAAGTCATTTTACTACCTTTGAGTAGTAAAAGATGCCTTTGAGAAAGACCTAAGTAAAATCCCCAACACTTTCTTTATTAGCTGCCTCTTAAGTAGGGAGGAGTTAAGGGAGGTGGGGATTGTTGCATTTCAACTTTAAACTCCCAGTCACAGATGAACAAACGCGTGGAACCCTGAGTGTGCTCAGGCTATAGAAAAGATAGATACGAAGATACCAGTTTTACTCCGCCCTTCCCACCCTTCCATCCAAGCGGTGCAATGGGAAGAAACTGGCACAAACTATCTCCCACTTGAGAAATTAAAACAATGGCCGGCGGTGGCATAAGGGAGACTCACATAGTCCTCGCAATGCAACTGCAATAGAAAGCCGGCAGCCCCAACCAGCGCCAGATGTCCACCGCCAGCCTATTAGGGAAGCCTCGGGGTCACGGGCTCCGGTTCGCAGCTGGAGAACCCGCCGCTAGGAGGCGCCGCGAGCGCGCCACCCCCGCCCGCTGCTGAAGGAGGGCTAGCGCCCGATCCCCTCCACCAAACGCCTAGCCGCGGGGCGGGCAGGCAGGCGGGACCAGACGCGAGGACTGTCACCACGGACGCACCGCTCCTACCGACCCGGGACGCGAGCATCAAAGGAACTCCAGGCGCCACCCTGCCATTTGTCCCACCGGAGTCCTTGGCTCCCGCTCCCCAGTGAGCAGCATCAGGAAGACGGCGATGTCTGCTGGGGCCCGCCGGAGGAACCGGGCGCAGCATTTCGCTCCCCTCTGGTGTTTCTCGGTCGGGTTGGGGATGCTGTGGTCCCCTGCCTCACAGGCTTTCAACTTGGACGTGGACAAACTCACCGTGTACAGCGGCCCAAAGGGCAGCTACTTCGGCTACGCAGTGGACTTCCACATACCTGATGCCCGCACGTAAGTCGCTCTCCTGGGGGAGGTGGCACGAGTGCGCCAACCCGCTCACAGGTCGGGTCCCGGCCCCTCTGCTGTTAGCCCCTGGTAGGTCTCCCGAGCTTGGAAAGGCAGTGTCTGAGGTCCCACCCGTCTGCTCACCAGGGCTTCCGTCCCGTTTTCGGCTGGCCATCAGCCCCTTCTTTCCCTTTGCGCGCTAGATGTGCCTTGTGAACTTTGAACTAGAGAAATGCCACTGCAAAGAACTTGCGGTTCAAACTCCACTCATGCATCCCATAAAGGAGAGAACGGGACCGAACTGAGCCAGTTAAAACAAAAACCCAATATGGTGCAAGTGCTGCTGGTTGGCTGCAAGCACCTGGGCTCTTGTCCTCTACTTTCTCCCCATGGACTCTCATCTCACTGTATCTACATAGCTCCACCTAGAGAAGAATTAGGACCACTCGCACCCTCTTCCAAACCAGGTTTCTGACGCCCATTTCTTTCCAAGAGGAAATCAACCTTAACACTCTCTCCATCATAAATATGCTTCTGCCCTCCACCCCTACTCCAGCCTCAGTAGACATGCACCTCCTGAGTGCAACGCGTGCGCACAGTTTTATGATTGCCACCAGGTGACCTTTTCCAATCCTTTCTCAGAGCAAGTGTCTTGGTGGGGGCACCCAAAGCCAATACCAGCCAGCCGGACATCGTGGAAGGGGGAGCCGTCTATTACTGCCCTTGGCCGGTGGAAGGATCTGCACAGTGCAAGCAGATACCATTTGACACCACCAGTAAGTGCTATTTGTCATTCTGGACTCTGGGCCCTGGTTTGAAAGAGCCAGAGCAATCCTGGAGTCAACTTCCCACTTTCTTTGTATTCATAGTCCTGTTCAACTTTTAGGTATTGTGGGCGGTGCAGGTTAGAGAAACAAGTCTTCAACCCTGAGTGAAAATGTTTAGTGAACCCTAGAGAAGGAACGTTATCTGACCCTGAGTGTTTAGATGCATCCAGGTAATTTCTTTTTCTTTTTTCGCCTTGCTGTCCAGAGGTGAGCATTTTTAGGGTGAGTGGATGTTTTGGAAAATACAAAAGTTACATCTTAACCTTGACCATGGACAGAATGTGGTTGCTTCCCAAGGACCAACCTGGGAAAAGACAGATTCTTAGCCCAGTTCCAAACTCCAGAGGCAAGACTTAGCTGACTTAGCTGCAGCAGACCCAGACATCACTCCATGTTGCTGTTTAATTCTTTACAGAAAGAAAGAATTTTCTTTCAAAATATTGGACATTGGATGCAAACTAGTACAGGCAGAGTGTGGATGGATTACATTCATTTCCAAAATCCCTAGACAGATGTTTCTTATTTAATTAAAGGAAAAATACATTTTAAACAATTCAGTCTGGTTACGTTTCCTCTGTGTTTTCTCTTTGGGTTCTAAGAAAATACTTTAAATGTAATGTGTTCAAAAACATTAACACTGAATGTTTTAATTTTTACCACCAAACCTTTATGAATTCAAATGATATGTATTATCAGAAAGCTAATCACTTTCCAGAAAAATGTGAATATGTCAGCTCAAATAACCCTTTGATGACCAGTCATTTAAAATCCCTTGTGCACTGCTCAATTGTTTTATAACATCATTCTCTGTGTATTTTGTTGGTATCCTAGTATGCATTCAGAACTTATGTAGAATGTCCATTTTATCAGAATTTTAATGAAATCCATTGGGTGGTGTTTACTTGTTAATTTATATCTTTTGTGCTAAGGAGAAAAAGTATTTCAGTTCTATGAATATGGAAATCATTTTTAAAAAATCTGTGCAAGAATTACCTTGAATTATGACCAAACTAAGAAAGTCTTCCATAAAAGCATTTTTAAATTATATTTTTCATGCCTGTCTATATATGGTCATGATAGCTTATTTGCTGTTTCATTAAATAATTCAGTTATTTCATAACCAAGTTTTATAAGCTTTTTTCTTTTAAATTTAAGGATTGATAATGGAAAAATTAAGCTGCTTAATGTTACTTTATGACAGAAATTCTTTAATTAGTTGTTTTATCAGGCTTGAGATGCCTCCTAGTTATGGACCCTAAGTTTAAGAAAAAAACTTCCTAAATCAGAAAAATTGATCAGTTAAGTGTGAAATTAATGCCATTTTAATCATTCATGCCAAAATCCTTTTAATTTTTTAAAATATTTAAAATTCAGACCTTGACAAGTAAAAGCATCCTTGACATCAATTGAATTTACATTCAGGAAAACAGGTGTTTATTTTTTGACACATTCAGTTTGTTTTCACCAAGAAACAATCTATAGTCATGGAAACGATTTTAATAACCCACCTAGGACATTTCTTAGCACATCAAGTCAGGATCTAGTTGGTGTAGTTTTCCTTTGATAAATGGAGAATCAATGTCTGCCCAGATAAGTTACACCTGAACAAACACCTTCTATACCCCCAATCCCTGTAATGCCATGATTCAATAGATAAAAACTAGAAAATCCAGGCATTAGTATGAGTTTTTAAAAACTGACCACTCCTAACCAAGATTTTCTGGTGTTAAATCACAATAAGTAAAAATTTCCAAGGTTCATTCTAAAGCACTTGTTTGGAACTTTGAATTCACTTTCCTGGAGAAAACTAATGCTGAAAGATTGGGCTTTGGTTTCTAGAATAGCCCACAGGAATGTATTTAACCCTTACTGTAGCTGAATTACATTTGCAATGAAACACTTGGGGACAAACCAGTACAATTTCATCAATTAAATGAATAGGAAAACAATGTCAAGGAAAGGTCAATATTGCTTGGAGAAAGATGGGAGTGGGGGTAGATGACTCTTATGCAGGTTCTGAAAAAGACAGTTGGATGTCTCAAAGGGCTTCAGAGATTGATGCTGCTGGCTTTATACTAGATCTTACTTCTAAATGTGTGGAGTTTTTCTTGACAGGTAGACAGATGCATCCTACTATATAGGATTACTATAATTGCAGTAATTTGAGGACTCATAAATGGAACAAAGTGGGAGGGGGCAGGAGAGAGAAATAGATATTCCTGAAATAACTGAGCAGGAATTTCTTAAAAAAAAAAATAAGCAAGGCAGGAAGGCTACACAAAGTTTGTAAGAAATGAATGGTTCATAATGGAATGAACAGGGCAGTGATCTGTGGAAAAGGGTGTCTCACGAAGAGAGGTGGGAAATTTTTCTTTGGGAAAAGAAAGTTCTCCTCCTTAGCCATCAGGGGGTACTGTGGGCCCAGAAACCTTGGTTGCTGCTGGGAATGGCCTGGAAAAGGGGAGATGAAAGGGAATCAGGACCACAGCTGGGTGCTACTGAATGGGTGCCAACACTTGGCACCTATTTCCACCAGTTACTTTATCCACATGTCCTGAGACAATGGAACTGGCTGTGAAGTGAAGAAGGACCAGCAGAGTCCAATCAGAGCAGGCAGTTTTGTGGGCAGAGTAGAATCTTGGAAAGATAGAAATGGACCTTGCTGACTCTAGGTCTTGCACTCGATATTGCCAGTCGTATCCTGTTTATTGATTACTACCATGTACCAGTCACTTGATTACTACCATGTACCAGTCCCATGATTCCTAATCTGTAACATGAATAAGGAAACTGACTTCAAGGGTCTGGTCCAAAATGGCATGATTGAGATGGAGTTCTGCCTACTCCAAATCTAGCCTCTTCACCTTGCCTCCCTCCCAAAGATGGAGAGAGGATTAGTTCTCACAGCGTGCAAGTTCATGGTTGTGACAGGATCATGAGGAGCCCCAACAGGCACTGTGCCCCTTTCCTGACTTTTCTCCATCCCCCCCCCCCCAACACGGGCTCTAGATGTTCCAACAGAAGTGCCCTACAGAGAAGAGCTACAAAGGAGGAACAGCTTTGCTAGGAAAGTTGTAGAAACCAGAGGTTTAGAAGCAGGGTTTGTCTTGGTTGTGTATGTCTCTGGTTTGCTCAAACTCCCATAGAATCGTCCCCAGAGTCCCCTATTACATCCTGAGTTACTCTCTGCCCAGTGGCAACAATTCACTGTTTCCCTACAAAGAGGAAGCAAATGTCCCTACTTGACAATGTAGTGGCTCTGACTGGTGAACACCTACAAACTGATATCCACATAACAGTTTGTGATGTGCAGGGCATAATATATATATATATATATATATATTTCCCAATATTCCTCTGTGGGGATATCTATGACTTTTGCTGTCTTATACCCCATCTACTCTTACTATCATGTCTGAATTCAAGACGTGCCAAGTAGGTTGACCTTTTAATAAAGTTGTTTCAACTTGTTCAGGCCTCTTGGGTGTCTGTAATTTAGCATTTTGCTGGAGTAACCAACTACATTTTCTCAGCCTAGATACTAAAGTAGATGGGCCTATAATTTAGACCCTGAATCTGGCTGTGATCCTGTACCTCAATTTAAGATCAACCACTTTTGAAAAACAGATAAGCTGTTAGTTAAATTTTTCATTAAATAATAATGATTTATAGCTTATCATTTAGCTTGGATTTCTGGGGGGTTTATTTTTTTTTTTAAATTCAAAAAGAGAGGAAGCTTGGACTTTGCCTACCATTTCAAATGCATGAATACTATTAAATTCTGCGCCTTTCAAGTAAGGAAAAGGGAAATTTTAAGGAAGCATATGGTGGTGGGGGAGGTGCAAAGAGTAGATAATTTTCCTGCTCTGCACAAAATCAAATGGTTCCAAAAAAGCACTTCTCTCATCTCCCTTCTGTCTTTCCCTCGTACTTCAATAGAACAAAATTCCTCCCATCACCAAATTGATTTCTTTCACTTTTGCCTCGGGAGCTCTCTGAACTATGCTGTATCTTAACCAACTTAAAACATCACATCTGCCTAATTCATGCCTCTCGTCGCTAAGTCTACTCCAACATTTATTTCTTCTTTTTTCCAACACTTCCCAAACTCATGTGAAGATTAAATAAGGATGGCTAGATTACAACCCTTCTGATAAAAGGGGGAATGAATGAAAAAAAAATGAAACAGTCACTTAATTTTTGGAATAATGAATGGGTGATTTGCAACAATAATAGCCAAAGCAGAGAACATGAAATATTTGATTGTTTTCAATGCTCAAGTGGCACATTTGGAGGAGGAAGATAATGGCTTGTGCTAATAGATGATGATAATCATCATAGCACTGACATCAGCAGAGTCAGTACAGCTGGGATACATGCACAATTAGGGACCCACATAAAAAGGGAACAGGAAGAGCTGGGAGGTGCCATTGAGATTTGGAAGTCATCTGAAAGACACTACTAGAATTAGCCTGGCCTTAATTTAGTATCTTTGTGCTTAAAATAAGTAAATGAAAAACCCCTTCGAATGGAAGATGATTTGGTTAGGACGTTTCAAAGCTCCAGAACGGTAACATTTTTGTTGGAATTGTGTTTTAGCTTGGAGACCAGAAGCCTTTGTTTTGGGAGTTCTGTTTTATTTTGTGTCAAGTGAGCCCACAATAAGAAGCAGCTTACAGCATCTGTTTCTGTGACTGGTACAGGACTGGTTTTTGATAGTATGGGGTGTGCCCTCTTTCTCATGTGAGAGTTAGGAAACATATTGGTCACAGAAGTCTTGCTTTTCTGACTTGCCCAGAAAGAAATTAGGTTTTGTTTGGGAACAAAGAAAAGAAAAAAATGTAGGTCAGAGTTACTCAAGTAGATGACAGAGGAAATAATATAAATGTGATAAGATTCAGGAACAGCAGGAATCTATGGTCCAGTAAGCTCAGCTGTAAGGTTAAAAA